AACATGGACCTTAGTGTTGAGACCAGATGGATGCAATGTTCTTTGTATTCAACGAAACCATATCCTTCTCGGAATTACCTATCGCCTATCGCCATTGGCGATGACTACGTTTATTGAAATAGGTGTATTTTTTGCAAGACCAAGTTAATATGGAAAGTACGTTTGATAAGCGAGTGTGCATACTGTTTTTCTCTCAAAAACCATCGATTGAATTCCTAAAACTTGTTTAACTATCAAGTTCGTATTCCTGTCGGCAACCGCTTTTCGAATATTATGATAATAATAATAAATAAACATTCATATAGCGCCATTTCCGTGAGCTCAATGGCGCTTTACAACAAATTATTTAAAATATGATATGATATTATCTCTTTATCTCGTCTTGACCCACATAAGGCACGTGGTCCTGACAACATACCAACAACTGTCTTAAAGGGATGTGCACCTGAAATTGCTCCATCATTAACCCTTCTATTTAACAAGTCTTTATCACTGGGCAAATTACCACAACAATGGAAAATATCTCATATAGTTCCAGTACACAAGAAACAACGTAAAGACATGGTGGAAAACTACAGTCCAATTTCTCTTTTGTGCATCGTGTCGAAGTTACTTGAGAGATGTATCTTTGAAAAAACCATAGATCATCTCTCACAGTATCTAAGTGATTGCCAACATGGTTTCATGGTTGGAAGATCTATTGTCACCCAACTCTTAGAGTTTGTACACAGAAGAATAGGCCTCGCTTTGGACAAGGGTCAGCAGAGTGACATCATAAACCTTGACTTCTCCAAAGCATTTGACAGTGTGTGTCATTCTCGTCTCATTTTCAAGCTTAGCCACTATGGAGTGCAAGGACAACTACTTAAAAGGTTTGAAGATTATCTTTCGAATCGTTCACAACATACTGTTGTCCAAGGTGCCATATCATCTCCTATGCCAGTGACATCAGGCGTCCCACAAGGAAGTATTTTGGGTCCGTTACTCTTCTTGCTATACATTAACGACCTACCATCCGTTATTGATACAAAAAGACTTGGGGGTCTTCATCAATGAAGATTTTAAATGGTCAGACCACATAAAGTATGTCCTTGATAAAGGATACCGTATGCTTGGGTTCTTGAGGCGTCATGCCTCGAGATACTTTGATGTAAGGGCAAAACGAACTTTGTACAATACACTCATTCGCCCTTATATTGGTTATGCAAGTCAGATATGGTCTCCCTCACAAGTCTGCAACATCAAATCTATTGAACAACTCCAGCGCAGAGCTACTAGATTTATCCTTCCTAATAGTGGGCTGGATTATTGGCACGAAATCATTGATTTGACATTCTATTTCAAAAGTCGAGCTGGCTACTATACAAGTTTTCTGTTGATGACTACGTAAAGCCTAGAAATACCTCCCGCTCCACAAGAAACAACTGCAAATTGGACCTTCTTGTTCCTCAAACTAGAACTAAACAATTCCAGAACTCATACTACAATAGATTGCCCAGAATATGGAATCAACTGCCTGCCGACATCAAATCGTTAGATTCTGTTTCAAGTTTTAAGACTGCTCTTCATAGCCGTTACTTTACTGGTCTGTTGAACACTTACTGCATAGACACTTTTAAGACATGGAAATCAATCTGCCCTAAATGCTGTACTACGAATAACATTACAGTAAAACCCCTCTATACCGGACAGTGCTGGGACCGATAAAAATTTCCGGTTTAGCGGGGGTTCCGGTATACTGAGGTTTTTGCAAATTACTTTTTTTTTTTGATTTGAATAGGTGCGATATCACACCTATTGAAAATATGTTTGTGTCTAATCGTTTGGCGTCAGTATAAACAAACACGTAAACGAAAGTTCAAGTAAAAATATCAACATTAAGATCAAAAACTAAGCAAATTTCTTAACTTTTATTTCAAAAGAACGCCAAGAAGAAACATTATAAATACGATCTGAACAAAATCCCCGGTAAAATGGACTGGGAATGACCCCAAAGCCATGTGACATGAAAAAGCATGGCGGCCGCAACTTCGCGAACCATTCGATCTTTAGTATTTCTCAACACTATTAAACCTTCCTTATGCATTCTGTTTGAACATTCATATATTGAAAACAATTAATTAGTCTTTGTATGTCTATTTGTGAACAAGATTTACTATTTAAAGAAAATGTTCGATGATTTTGTGAGTTTAGAAGCTGTCCCTGTAGACTCAATTTACACACCCGCAGATACGCTAGTGACGGTAGTTCCGAAACAAGTGTACGTTCTTCCGGACTAGTGGGGTTGAATTCTATTGTTAAATAGCGTTTGGTACCGAAATTTTCGTCCGGTTTCCGGAATAGAGAGGTTCCGGTTTACTGAGGTTTATTTTACAAAAGATATATGGGAAAAATTTCCGGGCCAAAAATTTTGTCCGGTTTAGAGAGAATTCCGGTATACTGAGGGTCCGGTATAGAGGGGTTTCACTGTACTAGCAAACCATTATGTTGCTACTGAACTTTACTTAGCATATCATTATGATATGTCTCAATATATTATATGATTCTATTCTCATATCTTTCTCTTATTTACATCAAGTTGATTATAAGTTTACTAATTTTTCAGTCATTATCATTATTATCACACTATCAACTATTATATCCGTCATCATAACATGCGCCATTTGTAATATCATTCCACTTATCATGTGATCATATTGTGGCCGTACTTTATTTGGAGTCATGCTCTGTTGTACGGACCATACCACTAATTGTTTATGTGGCTAAAGTCTTATAAATAAATAATAAATAAATAAATAAGATATGATATTAAATTCACTTATTGATTCATTTTTAACAATTTCCAATTGTGATCACATGCTAATTTATAATTGAATGGATTCAAAAAGTCTATGATGAAATAATATGTGAATAAAAGATCTATCATAAAAAATAAGAATTAAGAGTTAAGTAATTAATGCTTCTCTAAAGAAAAAAGAAAAGTCTTTATATTTGATTTAAATTTTTCAATTGCGTTTTCAAGTCTTTTAAAACTCTTGTGGCAGTTGATTTCATAACTTTGGAGCAACGATTTGGAAAATTCGTTCACCATACGATTTTAGGTTACTGTTACGATCTTCATTGTCAGTTGATGGTGTGTAGCGTTGTAGTAGATTAGTCAGGTAATCAGGAGCCCGGCATAGAGTTAAGTGCTTTAAATGTGAGTAGTAGTACTTTGTAAGTAATTCGCTGTTTTACTGGTAGCCAGTGTAGTTCTTCTAATACTGGAGTGATGTGTTGAGATCTCTTTGTCCTTGTAACCAAGCATGCAGCACAATTCTGGAAGATTGTGGAAGGCCATATAGCAGTGCATTGCAGAAATCAAGCTTAGATGCGACAAAAGCATGAATTAACGTCTCTGTGTCGCTCAGTGACAAGCAGTTCCTTATCTTTGCGATATTTCGATGGAAGAAAGCTCCTTTGCATATGTTACTGACATGTTTCTCCAGAGTAATGTTCTTATCAAATATCGCTCCTAAATTTCGTACATAGTCAGAGGCTCTGATATTTTCATCGTAGACTCTAATGCTCTCTATACTGGGTGGTATCCTGTATCGTGATCCAATAACCAATATTTAAGAATAAAATGGCTTCGCCCATCAGCATGGCGACTTTAATGTTAGTAACTCAGTTTTAAAACATGTTTTACTTTATTCAACAGAAATAAACCTGATGGCAACTGGTTGGGCATCTTCAAGTAAAGAAAATCTAAACTTTGCTCGCCTTTGCAAGTTATTGATTGATGGTGGAACACGTGCCTTAAGAGATGTATTTGACTCGATCCATAAACCAAGCTCCCTTTACAGGACACTACTCAGTACAACAGTGCATTCTACTCTAAAGGGACTGAGAGCAAAGAGAATTCTAAACAAACAACAATGGGACAGACTCTACCCTGCTAGCCGAAGTACACCTGTCACTTCCGCAAATTTTGACATCACACTGTTATTTGTACTGTTGCGTAATATATGTGGTTTAACACCCCCATCAACAGGATGGGACAAGCCTCCTGTTGCTACAGACCTGAGTAAAGAAGCTGATTTGGCTCGAGTYAAATATTATAGAAATGAACTTTATGGCCACATCACAGAAGCAGCTGTTAGTGACAGTGATTTTGAGAAATACTGGAGTGAGATCTCAGATGTGTTGGTCAGACTGGGTGGACCTCATTACGAACCAGAGATTGAGAGAATAAAGATAGAAGCAATGAACCCTGAAGATGAAAAGTATTTTATCAAGATGCTTGAAGAATGGGAACAAACTGAGCAAAGCTTAAAGACTGCTATCAAGAATACTGAACAACGATTGATGGATAGGTTGGAAGGAATAGAAGGAAAACTAGGTATGTATGAGTTTGATATCCTTTTGATTTGCCTTGAAATTCCTTGTTATGGAAAAAATTTCGACACTCAAAAATAAAATATCCATCCATCCATCCGTCCGTCCGTCCGTCCGTCCGTCCATCCATCCATCATCAACATCATCTTATAAATGATAGCAATGAATAATTAATAATGATGTTACTTACAACATTACAGTTAAAGACCGTGGTAGTGCAGCAGTAGGAGACAATACTTCTCTTACAAAGTAAGTAACCATCTCTTGATTAGAGAGAAGGCATTTAACCCGTGAAATAAAAATTATTAGTCTGCGTGTAATAGTCAACTAGACACAAAAGAAAACAATGCAATTAGGGTCTACTAATGTGTGTTAGTCTAATATCTATTGCACGGGTTAATTGCCTTCACTCTATAAACATTGCTGTATTAATTCTCATAGTGGTTATGTTCAGTAATACCATTATAAGTTTATTTTCATTTATTGTTTTTTCTATGTATAAATTTCTAACAAGAATTGTTACTCAAGCTGTCAGTATATTTGGCCCTTCACCAGCTGGGATGTAAAAAGGTGATGGGTTGAGGACTCAGAAACTTGTGTATCAATTATTGTTAGAAACTACAATGCAGAAGACACCAGACGAACCTTACAACCAAAGCCTAAAGTTTATTGGGATTGTAAATAATAATATAATTTTATTCTATCATAGTGATGAGAGAAGAAGTGATGGACCTGCAGAGAAAGATCTCTCTTCAAGACCACAAGGTAAAGGTCAAACCTTGTGTTTGTAACTATTGTTCATTCTTCTTTCACTCCAACCTTAAATGCAACCACAATTGATTGATTGCACAATAGTTTTTTCATATAAATATTGCAAAATTTAAGAAAATGAGAAAATTTGAGAAAATAAATGGAGATACAATTGTAGTAAAAAGTCTAATAATGGATAACAAATAATCAAGGGACCATTCTTTATTTATCAGAGGGGAGGGGTGTAGTGTAATGGGTTCCCTGTGGTTTCACAATAGTCTAATAATGGATAACAAATAATCAAGGGACCATTCTTTATTTATCAGAGGGGAGGGGTATGGCTGAGATAATAGTAAAAATACCTTTTTCCTCTGAACCCCCCACTCCCTCCCCCACATTAATATGCCAATTTGTTTTCAGCATCCCGTTTTTATTTTCAACATTTAAAAGGCTCTCCTATATATAACTCTTCAATTATTTCACTAAGATTCCAAGACCCCCTATTTTCTCATCCATAACCCACTTTCAATAAATATTGAATACCTTTAACAGTGATACATGTGGATCTCTAGAAAGCGTAAAGTTCACGATAAAAAATCTTGCCCGGCAATAGGTGTGCGAATGTCAGCATTGTCAATTAACAAAAATGATAAGTGTAATACGAAAAGAATATATATTTTTAGTATAAACCTACTAATGGTCTATTGCAAATCTTGTGCTCTGATTGGCTGAGCTACTAGTAGTCTGTTAGTGATAGACCACTAGTAGTGGTCTTGATGACCAAAACAACCCAGATATATATTATTTCAAGCAATTTTAAATTTTGTTTGTATTCATTTATTTGACCTATTAGTAGGTTTATGCTAAACAATAAAGACCACGCGCCCTTGTGGTCTAGCTATGAGTCAATAGCCTATTCTACCTTCGGCCTCATGGACTATTGATTCATCGACCATTCAGGCTGCAGGTATGATTGTTAAATAGGGGACCGATCGTTTATTCTGCTGTAGGGGGAGGGGGCAGTAAATTTCCAGTGGGGAGGGATAGAAATTTCAAGATCATTTGAGTGGGGGGTACAAGTTATGTAATTGCAAATTATGGGGTACAGTTTTAGGTTTTTCATGCAAAACAAGTGACATTTAATTTCAGCTACTGAGCATGACATTTTCTAAATTGTAATCATGAAGGGGTACATTTTTATTTCAAAGATATTGTAGGGGGTACATATTTTACTAAATTTTTATAAAATATCTTATTCTTACATTTTCTTCCTGTCTTTTGGATGTGAAATTGTTGTGTTTTGATTTTCAGAATATACAGAAAAACTGAAGTCATCCATCAAACAACAAACCGATTTTCTGTTGTCAGAGGAAGAAGACAAGAAAATTAGAACCGATGACATCTTTACGAGTGTGACTATCCAACGCGGTCCAAAACACTTCGAGGAACCCAAAGAAAAACAATTGGATGAAATTCAAGCAAGTACTAGAAAACCTCTCACAAACTGTTCAGAAATGTTTCTTTGCCCGGAAAATGATAATCAGCAATCAACAGCTTCTTGCACGACCAATCCTAAATCTATCTTGTTGACGGGCAAAGCAGGAATTGGAAAATCCCTTTTTTGTCGTAAGCTGGTACGGGATTGGTCGCATAACCGATTGTTTGAGGAAGGTCAAGAAAATGCCAAAGTACCCGATTTTCAGTTTGTGTTCCTGTTGACATTCCGTCAACTTCTTCTTCCAGAAGAAAAAAGGCTTGACTTACGTGATATCTTAAATCGGTCTTCCCTACTGAACGAGCACTCGGTGATAGACGAGCCATTACTGCAGTACATGATTGAAAATCCTGAGAAGCTGCTCATCATACTCGATGGGTATGATGAGTATAAACAACGAAAGAAAATCACCGGGGACTTTGAGACAAGATACCCAAACGACCCTCATGAAAAAATGCCTGTTCCTGCTCTGATTGCCAAAATCATGAAAGGAAAGATGTTAAACGGTGCAGTGGTCCTAATATCCTCGAGGCCTGAAGAAGCCGAGGAATTAAAAGAAATTGTCTTTGATGTGAGATGTGACATTCAAGGATTTTCTTCACTTCAAGTGCTAGAATACATCGAAAAATATTTTAAAGCCAACGAAAGCATGAAGAACAAAGCACTCGATCACATCAAAACGAATGAAATTCTTTTAAGTTTTGGTCACATTCCTGTGATGTGTTTTCTAATGTGCTACTATATTAAATGGTACATGACTGAATCCAAAACCACAGAAAAACTACCCGTCACAAGAACAGAACTTTATCTTGAAGTAACCATATTATTTATCAAGAAACATTCCTTTTCTAAATATGAAGAAATGGAAGAAACTAAAGTACAAGAAATATTACATAAACTAGCTGAAATAGCGGTGAATTTAATGATGGAAGATAAATATATTTTCAACGAAAATGATATGAAAAAATTCAAACTTAGCGATGAAGAAATAACAAGCCTGAAAGCGAGTGGATTACTTGACTGTTGTCCTGGCGTTAAAAAATCTCCATTCGATAAACCACCACTTGAATTTACGTTCACCCACAGGACGATTCAAGAATTTCTCTGTGCTTTTTTGTTTGTAGAGAAAAAACAAATCCCAGAGAAAGAGAAAACGAGCGATGTGACATTCATGTTCATGGCAGGAATACTTTCAAGAGAAAAGGATGAAAAACTGATGGAAAAGTTGATAGAAAATATCAAACCAGGGAATGAATACGATGATAGGAATAAACTGCTAACTTTATCCTGTCTGTACGAGTACAAAGACGATGGATTTTCTACCAGAGTAATAAATAACCTTAAACACAATTACTGTAATACGAATGGGAATCGGAACATTAGATTTAATAGAATAACTGATATCGATTGTTTGTACATAAGTTATTTATTAGATATAGTGAATTTAATCAACGCAGAACAAACTAAACAACATCCAACATTTACAGAGTTATTTATTGTTAAGTCATTGCAAATTGGTGAGTCATCTTTATCTGCATCAGGGATCAGAATGTTGTGTAATTCTCTTGTTAGTATTTCTAGTGCTGATTCACTGTCGCTGGGTGTTTGTAAATTAGACGATGAATGTGCTAAAATAATATGTGACATGTTGCCTCGTACTAATATAAAACGCCTATACCTAAATGCTAATAATATAACAGATGTTGGTGTTAAAATAATATGTGATATGCTGCCTGGTACTAACATAACACACCTACACCTAGGTGCTAATGATATAACAGATGTGGGTGTTGAAACAATATGTGATATGCTGCCTGGTACTAACATAACACACCTATACCTAGGTTATAATAATATAACAGATGTGAGTGTTGAAATAATATGTGATATGTTGCCTCGTACTAATATAACACACCTAGACCTAGGTTGGAATAAAATAACAGATGTTGGTGTTAAAATAATATGTGACATGTTGCCTCGTACTAAGATAACAGACCTTAACCTAGATGTTAATAAGATAACAAATGTTGGTGCTCAGTGTCTGTGTTCAGTATTAAAACGTGATGATTGTGGTGTAAAAGTGTTAGACTTGCATAATAATAACATAACACGTAAATGTGAACGGTCTTTAAGACAACAGATCCCTTGTTTGCGTATTTAGATCAATAAAACTCATATATGCAGAGAATATTGCATGAAACCATAATAAACGAGTAGAATATAATCTGCTTTTATAAAAAATATCATCTTTTTAATTGAATAATAAAGAAATTCTTGTACTTTTATCTTTGTAGTTGATTCAAAAGTCGAAATTTGGATTCTAAATTAAATTTTAGGAAAAACCATTTCAGCTTTAATTTTTTGATAAAAGTCAATGGAGTACTGATGGGAGGACTTGCACCATCACGTGATGGCAGCCATGACAGGAGGAACAACAACTGATGTGTTGCAATCATTCCCAAGAGAGTTAAAAGACACAAACATGGTGGCCATTGTGGTACTGTTAACAATGGATGCTAATGAGAAATCTTTTGTTATAATATAACTAGATTATTACGCGCGCTCTGATTGGCCAAAAACCAATGAACTATTTCCCCATGGGCTGCACGCTCGTGCACGCTGATCTCAACGGACGCTCGCCTTTTTTCTCTAAATTTTCAAACCCGATGGCGTCAGTAGCGCGCGCACGAGCGAGATGGGTGATATAACGCGCGCTCTGATTGGCTGAAATGCCTATGAACTATTTGCCCATGGGTCGCACGGTAGACTTTTGGTCATATTATAAATCAGTTAGACGACAAAAAAGCGCTCGCCCATGGCGATATAGACGCACTTTGAGAAAATATAAAGAACTCTTAACAAGCTAGAGTGTCATTCGGCTTCGCCTCGTGCCACTCTTTCGCTTGTTAATCGTTCTTTATATTTTCTCTCGTGCGTCTATATCGCCATGGGTGCGCGCTTTTATGTCGTCTAACTGATAAGTGGTCATACTAGTGCTTATAAGGGGAACGGTTCATCTTTACTCGTATTGATCGACGCACAATTTTTCCAGGCTTTTTGTTGGGGTCACCTTCTAAATAGTTTAGTAATTCAAGTCGTGGTCGTTTACGAGGTTTGGGAAGTGAAGGTGGTTGTATCAAAGGAGAATGTGCCATGAGAGATGATGTAGAAGTCTCTGGCATTTGTGGTTCAGTGGAGAGTAACACGGGAGAGGCAGTGATAGGTGAAAATGCGGGTGGAGGAAGAAAGTTAGAAGGTTCAGCAGTAAGCGGGGAACTCCTTGCGGGCTCGATAGATAATTGGTCTGATGGTGACTGAATTTCCGCCGCGAAGCTACTAAGGGGTGTTGAATTACCTAATCCCACTGTGCTGGGATTTATTTTGTCCTTGTAGCGCAGATAATTGTTCTGGAGTTGAACGTATTG